CCATCCCAGTTCTCACAGCTGAATTCCAACATTGGATATGACATGGCCAAGGGGAAAATATTGGATTTATTTTTATGAGTTAGTCATAACCCTAATGCCCTTAAGAGGTACTGAGAGAAGTGAATCCATTCATGAGGCCAAGAGGGTCACTTTTAACTTGTAAAAATAAATCCAATATTTTTCACTATGTCTTATTAGATTTGTACAATGCAGACAACCATGGGTGGTTTGTTTTTTCACATGTCACTTCTCACAACTGCTTATATCCACTTTTCCCCTCTATTCAGCACTGATGAGGCCACATTTGGAGTACTGTGTTCAGTTTTGGGCCCTCCACTACAGAAAGGATGTAGAGAAATTAAAGAGAATCCAGCGGAGGGTGAAAAAATTGGTGAGGGGGCTAGGGGACATGACGTCTGAGGAACTGAGCTTATTTAGCCTAGAGAAGAGGAGACTGAGAGTGGACTTAACAGCAGCCTTCAGCTGCCTTCAGCTACCTGAAGGAGGGCTCAAAAGAGGATGGAGCTAGACTGTTCTCAGTGGTGACAGATGACAGAACAAGGAGCAACAGTCTCAATTTGCAGCAAGGGAAGTTTAGATTAGATATTACACAGAATTTTCTCACTAGGAGGGTAGTAAAACATTGGACCTGGTTACCCAGAGAGATCCATGCTTGGAGGTTTTCAAAACTCAGTTAGACAAAGCTTTGGCTGGGATGATCTAGTTGGGGCTGGTCCTGCTCTGAGCAGGGGGTTGGACTAAATGGCTTCCTGATGTCCCTTCCAACCCTAAGTTGGTATGATTATTCTATGCTTTTATGATATTACTAAGATATCACTTCTTGGGCTGATCCTCATCACTTTTGTTGTATATCATTTCCTTGGATGCTTGTGAGGCTGTATATGGTTTCCTCCTAGTCTTCATTTGTTAGTACTTTGAAAGCTTCTCATGAAACTTGTTCTGTAACTGAACACATTAACTTAAGACTCATCTCCTATGTGTATAATCTTCTCTAGCCTACAGTCCTCAATTGTTCCTTAGCACTTCCACTCAGGGATAAACTTCACAGAGTTTATCTCAGGGTCCACTACTGGTTGAACCATGATTAGGCTAAAAATAATCTTACCATGTAATCCAAGTAACTGGCCTACACACCATTAAATTCTGAATGGGCCAGAAGGTAAATAAATCCCCTTCATAAGGGCTGCAGTAGCTTCCCATTTGCAGGAGAAAGGAAGAACTGGCCAGTGGATGGGAACTTTTCTACGTCCTCACGGAATCCTGCCATTTCAGACAGGGGAACTTCCAGGGGCCTCTCCAACTACTGCAGACAACTAAGGACTGTTATAGAAGTAATTTTTTGCACCATAACCCAATTAAAAATAAGTTGGGAACAGCCGGGGGAACACAAGTTGTGACTCATGAGGAAGCCTGAACCAAAGCAGCAGAAATTCTAAAACCAAAGGAGATTGTTTCCAAATGGATTTTGCCAGGAGTCAGAAGCTGCAGATTGCGGCTGATGAGATAACACTTCCTTTACAAGCAGGTGAGCGACAGCATTCTGTTTACACCTAGATTTGAGCAGCTGGACTTGGAAGGATCAGGAAGGATTGCTCTGATGACAAAGCTTAATGGATAAAGAAAAGACAAGTGTATAAATAGGAAATGGTGCTGTGATGGTAAAAAGGCAGATTTAGATACCATAGAGATAAAACATAACATAACCGGAGGTGGGGGAGCCTGAACAGCAGCTCTAGGTGATATTTTTGTGGGGGTGAGGTGCTGCCTCTGAGATGTATGTAGCAAAAGTACTGTGTCAAGGACACCAGTTATACTGTGGGTAAATGGTCTGCCTCAAGTTGGACATATGTTGATGTACCAATTAAAGTTCCTTTCTGTTTCATTTCAACCTGTTGGCCAAATCCTGGTTTTGGGTAAATCAGGGGCTTCCATCTTTTTCAAGAGAACTTGTTAATTTCATTCATCTTGGGCTGTTATTCTTTTCCATGCTCTGTTGTAGTCCATAGAAGAAATTCCTGTCACAAGAAGCAAGGAAACCTAGCAAATCAACTAAGAAAGAGAGTTTTGTCAATTATATTCTATTGCCTCCACTAAAACTGGTAGGGGAAGGCTGGTAAACACTTCAGTGATTCCTGCTGGCATATTTTAGTTTCTTCCCTCAAGCAGTATTTGAAAATTTCTGAAAGTACTGAAATAAATTTGTGTTTTTTCATTTTCAGATCCTACACAATGGACAGTAGTAAAATCAGGCTGTGTTGCAATTAAAGGAATTATATTCAGGCGCTTGAAGTGTCTTTTCACTTTCTCCAGTCCTACACATGTGTAGCACCACCAGCTTACATGTACTGAGTCCTCATTTTCACCAGAAAAAAATAAAAGCAGAATTTGGCCTTCACTGTTCCATATTTCAAACCAGCAAACTTACTGCCCCAATTTCATATTATGCTTCTTTTTGATAATGCCTTCTACTCACTTTATACTAATGTAAATCATTACACAAGCCTCAGGGCAATAAAGTACTGATGCCCAATATTCTCACTAAATATCAGATGGGCATTGACTAATATATATTCCTTAAAGGAATTTCCTTTTGAAAAAGGTCTTTATGTTTTTAGAGCTTCAGCTTGCCATTTGAGTAGCAGCTCCAGACCAGACAGTGCAATTTAAAATTTTGGCACTTGGCTTTCAATAATTCCCTGTTAGATTACTGTCTGTGGAAGAGTATATAACACAACTGCTACAAATGCTGGGAGCAAAATCTTCAATAACAACTTAGCGCATATGATAACTTTCCCAATTTCCTGCATCGACACCACCTATCTCTTTACTCTGGTCTGTAGCAGCTTGTTTCTTTATTGAACATCTGCCTTGGGATCCCCTGTCACAAAAAGTAATAAACACATCAATCCAAAAGAAAAGAGTATTGCATGGCCCAAAACTACTTAACCAATCAAATTGGCAGCTGGCAACGTGAAACTAAAGAGATAAAACTCAGAGGTGCATTTTACACAGAGTATTGCTAATGATATTATACACCTGCTGCCATTTTGCACAGCTAATCGCCTGAGCACTCCTAATACGTTAATTATAGTTTCTAGCACCAATTATATATTTCAACCTTTGTTGAAATATCAAGCAATGGGATTAATTTGTAAATCTGCTATCTCACTGATACTTGACAGCTACTGCTTTGATTTTCCTTGCTGCAAAATATGGATGGACTGTCCTGGGAGAAAGCACTCTTTAACTAAATAAAAAAACACAATAAAAATGTCTTGTAGCATATTATCTATAGACCCCATGACTTGTAACTGTGACTATAATTATTGTTGTTCTAGTTTCCCCTGCAGGTTTCTCCAAACAAACAAATAAACAAAAATACCTAAATAGAAAAACAAAAGCAATTTGTGCTCTCCTGTTATCATAGTATAAATATCCATAGATGACTTGCATAGAGAGTAGATCAAATCTAATCTTGCAGCGGTGTTCCTTGTACATTATAAATCACATTTACTTCAAGTGTGTGTAATTTGCCAGTTCATATCCAGTGGTAAATTAGAGCAGTTTTGCCTTTTGGGAGGGAAAACTTGCTTTTGAAATGCGTCCTATTGACTATGTATAAATTACCAGCAGCAGATCCACAAAGCAGATTTGAAAGTAGAACTGCCTATAGGCTCTTTTTTTATTGATTGTAGATTGATATTCATCTGATTTCAAAGTAAAATAAAATAAAATAAACCTGCAATTTAATTACTAAACCTTTAAGCAAATAGCAGAAGTGCCTTCTTGTGTAATAGTATGATTTGACAAGCTATTTGTTCTTTCTTGCATCACTCTGATTATAGCCTGTAAGCTGACTTCCTTTACTCACCACAGTGTGTGTTCTGAAAGACAATAAATGCTTAAAACAGTGTATTTTCCTTTGGCATTGTAGCATGTACATTTTATTTTTCCTTTTTCTAACACTAGTCTTCATTCAAACGATCAACATAGGAAGATGCTAAACAGTTTGGCCCCAATCCAGCAAAGCACTTAAACGCATGCTTTGAAGTCAATACTTCAAGAGTGTGCCCAAGTGGTTCACTGAATCAGGGCTAGCATGCTTAACACCTGGCAAATCACACCCGAAGTGCTAGACTGAATGTTTTAAGAAAAATGCCTCAATACCATGCATCTGTCCTGGGTAACTATAGGAAACTACATATAATACCTCGCTCTGATGACTTTTCAAATCATCTTCCTAAGTACCTTATAAATGAGGTAAGTATCATTACAAGTGAGGTCCATTTTACTGATGGGGAAACTAAAACACAGTGAGACGAGACTTTCCAATGGTTATGTAGAAAAAACTGGGACAGAGCTTAAAACAGAATCCCAGTGTCCTGATCCTGTCCACTGCACTATCTGCTACGCTGCTCTGGCTCCCTCCTTCTTTCAGGTGGTATTTTTTCTCAAAAAGGAAAAGGACTTCATTGCATAACACATGTGGATTCCCTTGAATATGCACTGCAGAAAAATGCCAACAGCTTCTGCTCCAGTGACGCTTCTTTGAGGACAGTTATGGCACATCAGCTAACCTTTCTGTTGCTGGCAGGATGAAAAATAACTCAACAGCTTTAACTGTAGTCTATGTCCCACTGCAACATTTTCCAATTGTGACTGAATTGGATTCTTTAATTAATTCCTTAATGAAACAGGATAGTGTTAACTATTTGGATCACACCAAAAATGAGTATCTACCTTACAAAACTATTAAGTAGATTCCTGTATAGCTTGGCCAAGAAAGGGACTTTTAACATACATGTACCAGTGGGTAACATACTTCCCTGCTTAAAGAAAGGGCATCCTGAGTGTCATGAAGGCTTTGAATCCACGGCTTCACTTCTGTGACAATCACTCTCTTGGTAATTGTCTTATTACCTCTGTAGCTAGGGACTTACAGAGGTAATAGCAGGAGTTACTACAGCTTCTGCCATGCAGCCCAGGGCCTGTAGCTGCAAGACTCCCATATTTTATGTGAACTTTGTACAGAGTGGGGACTTGTAATGCACACTCACTACCAGGTTACCTTCATATAGCACTTAGCACAATGAAACTCTGGGTGTTAATAGGACTCTGGATGCCACTGAGGAGAGACTAAAAAAATTGCAACTATAAATAAGGTCAAGAAGTGTGCTTACGTCTTTGTTTGTTGGAGAACCATGCTTAGTTTTACCATGAAGATCGCTTCTTGAAAATGTGAGTTTCCTTATGATGGATGAATGGGGCATGGCATTTGGGAAGGTCATTTCAGGCAGAACTGGAGCTAGAGAGGCATGGGTCAGGCATTGCTTCTTAAGGAAGGCAGTACCTTGGAGAGAGCATAACTAAGCCATATCTAAAACAGCTCTTTGGCATAACTGTCCCTGGAGCAATGTGATCTGTAGGTTTTAAACTCTCATACACTCAGAAAACCTTTATTCCCTTCCCCACATACTTTTTTTTAGCAAAGCATGATATAGCCCCTAAAAATTAATAAACCACATGTAAGGACAAACATTTTCAGATGTCATAAGTTTTCTATGGCTCATTAATGGTGACAAAAAGCAAATAAACACCTTTTGTAATCACATATCAGCTCCTGTTAGGCATGGCAGTGATCTTTAATTTCTGTTCCTCCCTAATTAAATGTTTGTGGGATTCTCTGATCATAGTCTTTCTAAACTGGCATATATGGCCACTACTGTGAGCAAAGTGGGATTGCAGTGCAGTACTTAATTTTAGAGAACATTATTCACTGATCATCAGGCAATATGACTTCACTGGGCGTTTATCTGCCCTCCTAATGGAGATGAGGTCTAGAAGCCTTCCCTGAATGCCTTTCCTATGCTTAAGTACATGAGTTCCCTGAGCTATTGAGTTGCTTTTCAGCGTTGGGCATGGCACAAAGATTTATGTTGCTCTATGTGACCATACAAACCATCCATCAGTCTTAGTTACAATAAAATCTTACTCCTTGTTTTTAAAAGCCCTTTGCATAACTTCCATTATGAAGTTAATGTCAGAGATGGTCAAGCACTTCTGGAAAATTTCAAAAGCACCTCAGTGATTTAGGCTCCTGTGTCTCAGTGAAAGTCAATGGTACTTGGATCCCTAGGTAAATGAGGTCCTTTTAAGATTTCTGCCCAGAATAGGACCTTTGACCCATGAAGAGAATCCTAAAATGATGACACGGTTTTGTATGTGGATGGCAAATATGGGTAGAAAAAGGTGAGGGAATCTAGATCAGCAACTGAAAATCTAAATCTGAGCGCACTAATGCTACTGTGAAATATTAGTGTGTCATATTCATCTATTTTAGTCAATGAATTTGCAGTAAAAATGAACATGACTGAAACCATTATATCTCATGACGTACCAGTGTAACAGACTTCCTTCATAATTCACTTAGAGTATTTTTTGTCAGGTAAAGATTGTTTAACTTCTAACTTCACTTAATACAAAATTGTCTAGTTCAGACATTTGCTTGTTCTGAGGTTATATCTTCTTAGCCTTGACTCCAGCCTATCACACAGTAAATTGAACTACATTATTTTCTGTTCTCTGAAAAATAAAGACTCATGCATAAAGAGAATCACTCTTTAGAAACAAGCCAGGTTCACCAAAATGGTGATACTGATTTAAAAATATAGAAGTATCAAAAAGAAGTATGATCTTCTGATCTGCCATCAGCTACTTAAATCTCTACGGTGTCCTTAGGTTACATTTTCAAGCATTTTATGGCCACCATGGCAGCTAGAACCATACCTTTTTAACAAAAGCTGAGAGAACTTTGTCACATAGAGGTCTCAGGAGCTGTGGCTTTAAGTAAAACAAACAAATATTGTGGGTCATGAAACTGAGAGCAGACAATATTCATGCTGTGATAAATACCCATTAATCTCCAGAAAAGGTAAATTAAATTGCTTGGATCTAGGCCTTGCCTATTGCAAGGTCCACTGCCTAGCTTGCTGGGGTCCTTGTCTGTCTGGGACTCCTAAGTGCTACCAAAAATACATAATACACAAAATACACTCCTCTTATCATGAACAGTGTGGCTTTCATCCTTGGACTAGCTCTGCTGCTTTGTTGGTGTCTGAGAGCAGTGGAAGAGAGAGGAGCTATATGTATGTACAAATGAAAGGGAAGCGGTTTTGCATCAGGGGCTGTACAGCTGCAGATAAGGAATATAATGCCCCTGCCTGTATGAAGGAAGGGAGATCCCTGTATCTAAAGATGGCAATGGTGGAGAACAGGTATAGCAGTGGAGAGAAAATACAAGGTATATTAAAAAAATATCAAGACTGAACTTGTATTATTTATTGTACAAAGTACTGCGGGAAAGGGCTTTGTTGAACATGTCTGGGCATGTTTGGACTCCTCTGGACAGGTTTGCAGCTCATGGTATTCCCAGTTTTCTGTGGCCAGTGGTTGAAGTACAATTGTTTATGTCTTGCGTCCCCTTTTGTTATGTCAGGGTGTCCAGAACAATGCATGTGCATTACATATTGCATGAAACTAGGGAAAATGGCAAGTGAAACATTTGAATGACTTAAAATAGTATTTGGTGATGACACTATGAGCCGTGCAAGAGTTTTTGAATGGTATCATCAGTTTAAAGAAGGATAATCATCAGTCAAAAGTGACGAGTGTTCTGGATGGCCTTCAATATCACAAAATGATGAAAATGTGGCAGCTGTTCTCAGTTTGGTTTGAAATGATAAGCAACTGACTGTCCAGGAGACAGCAGAAGAAGTTGGAATTTCTGTTGGTTCATGTCATTCAATTCTAACCAGCGATTTGGGAATGAAACGACCAGAAAATGACCAGAAAAGTGGGTGTCCAATTCTTGGATGCTTCACCACAACAATATGCCTGCCCACTCAACACAGCTTGTGAAGCAATTTTTAGCCAAATTTTAGCCAAACACTGTATATCTTACAAGTGCCACAGCCTCCATATTCACCTGATACGGCCAAATGCAACTTTTGTCTTCCCTCAACTAAAGAAAACCTTGAAAGGAAGATTTTGTGATGTGGAAACTATAAAACAAAATGCAACTGAGCAGCTTTTAGTGATTGCACAAATTGCTTATTAGAGGTACTTCCAACAATGGCAGAAATGCTGGGAGAAGCGTGTGGCTGTAGAAGAAACATACTTTGAAGGAGATTAAGCCAAAACCCCTGTAAATAAAATATTTTGCTTCCTACAGCATCAGCCTCGATACAAGGTCTGTCCAAAAAGTATATGTATGGGAAAGAGGAGAGATAGGAGCTTCCATTATGCTGCTAAAGAGCAGTAGAAAGCATTCATTAACCAACTGCCAGGTAGGACTGGGCATGCCTTAGGGAATCAGTGAAACCAACCAAAACACTGGAGTTTGAAGGCATTTATTTTTTCAAAGCAGTTTTAAAACCCCAACAAATTTTCTTTTATGCTGCTTACATTCAGGGATATGCTTGCAGGGTCAGATTCTTTTCACATTTAATCTAAAAGATTCTCAGCCCTGTCTTGTCACCAAAATGTTACTTATGCAATATGGAAAATCCCCTTCTTGACTCTCTTAGCTGCTCTCCCTGACGCATAAGATACAATTACTTTTGTAGCATTAGTTTAGTTCTCATAGCTACACCCATTTTAGCATACCTCTCATTTTAATCAGGCATATGATTTGTGTTAAGGTCTTGTAACTTGCCACAGTGTTCATCATTCCACCAGAAACCTTGTTGTGGTAAAGAATAGGTATTTCAGCAGGACCATATTTGTTCCAGAAATGCAGTCCTTTGGCTAATTCATGCTTTTGTTTATTAAGCAGTTACAATCCCAATCTTTCTAAAGCGCAGCCTTTTAAAAATCAATGTAGTCAAATCCTGAGTTTACACCTATGTTGCTCAGAGGAGCATTTGGCCCTCAGTTTAAACCATATTTTAGTGACTGTTGTGTTTTATGTGATAAAATGATATATGGCCTGACTTAAATGACCAGAGGGGATCTACTTTCCTGCTACTCTATTTAAAAGGTTTCTGTGAACATTTTACACACCTTATTGTATGACTGTGACTGTCTAATAGCAAAATGAAACAATAGCCTCTGATGTCCACAAAGACAGGGCACACCACACAGGTGCCATGTTTTACAACACCACTATATCTTGTCATTCAGAAGTGCTCCCTGAACAAATTGCCTGTCATATTTAAAGATAAAATCTGACAGTGCCAGAACTGACAAGTAGTCCTCAACCCTGACATACAACACAGAGCTGAATTTTCCTAGATTCACTGTAGATGGATTTGTCTTTAGAGATTCACAGCAAAGCCAACTGTTGGCAGAGCAGCAAAAATTATTTCAAAACATTGCTACTAAGTGTCAGGCTTTATTAAATGGTTGCCACAAAAAGGTACTAAAAGTCAGGCTTTTTTCCCTCTCCACAGAAATGTTTTTACATATAGTTCTTCTCTGTATAATAATGATGTACAGTGATTCTAAATAATAAAAAAACACAGCACTGAATTTCAGGAGAGATGTTCTCATTACTTCTTAATGCTGATCTGTATTTACATCACAGGCTCCTGTATTTTCTTAATCCCTTGAGATTTTGAAAGGCATACACAGTAAATAAGAACTAGACATTAATTATGCTATAAATAGATAAGATTATTTCAGTAATTGCAGTATGCCTTATATTACCATTTACCTGAGGAACGTCATGTTATTTAACTATTAAATACAACTGGCAAGTTCTCTACTGTGTACAGAGAAAGCTCATTGTGACTGATATTTAAATAAACTCCTTACCTTTGCAAAAGAGCTACATATTCATCTACCCTCTAACAAGGCATCTGCAAGATTTGCTAGTGTACCTCTTTGTTTCTACTTGTGGCTTTATTCCTCAATTAGATCACTGCACATTTAACTCCCTCCTTGTTCATGACCATACAAAGTTTTACATGAACAAATGGAGGCCTCAAGGGG